ATTTTGTGAAATTGCTTTGGTTTAAGTTTTATTTTTGTGAACTATTTTAAGACAACTGATTTGCTTTAAGGATAACACAAAGAATATTCTATAATTGATAAGGTGTCACACTTTTCTAAAATTTATTTCGCAATAAAATTTCTCAGGTGCTAATACTATTTAAACTACACCGTATACTACAGTATGCCGTATAAGATATACATTTTAAATGTAAAATTTATTTCAATTTATCATACATTTCTCATATATCATATGTATTTGACTAGAAATCTAAATCATTATTGATTTTCTCATTTAGAGTCAAATATGGGTCTGCAATGAGTGCGCAAAACGACGTCCGCCACCAATAATGCCTGTCCCGCAGCCAACTGCTCGTCATTATAACGACAACTATTACAATAAAGTGGGAACTCCTCCATCAAATCCATATCAGCAACAAATGGGCGCTCAAAGTGCACAGAACTTCGGTCAGAATCCATACCATATGCAAAATCAGACACAATTCCAGCCCCAATATCCACCACAACCGCAACACCCGGCCCAACACCCGGCCCAACAACAGCAACAACAACCGGCACCGATGGGTGGACAGCAACCGCTACCACCACATCCCCATCAACTACAACAACAACAACAACGATCTCATTCGCAAAGTAATATAAACACTCAAATAAGAGCTCTTCCAAGAACTTCATCGCTGGAGCAGCAGATGGTTGGCTACGACCAGACAATGCAGACACAGCCACAACAACAACCACTTCCACCGCAGGCACCCCTTCCCCAACAGTACCAACAACAGAGTCAACAGCAGTTCGAGTCGCCCACCAGACAGAGGAATCTGATTAAAGGGCCGACACATCCGCCGCCCAACCAGACTGGCCTTCCCATTGCACAGCAAAATCAGATGCAATACAACTACGATCAGGTAATCCATGGCAATGTCCATCATATTGAACAATATGTAACCCATGTGTTGGCCATTGAACTGATAGGAAGGGAACGTCGACTCTTCGCAAATGCAATACCAAAGCCAAACACAGCCGCAACTAAACAGTCAAATACCGGCCAAACAGCCAATGCAGGAGCAGTTCGAGTCGCCCACCAGACAGAGGAATCTGATTAAAGGGCCGACACATCCGCCGCCCAACCAGACTGGCCTTCCCATTGCACAGCAAAATCAGATGCAATACAACTACGATCAGGTAATCCATTGCTATGTCCATCAAATTGAATAACTAGTTAATAGTTACTAGTTACTAGTTACTAGTTACTAGTTACTAGTTAGTTAATAGTTACTAGTTACTAGTTAGTTAATAGTTACTAGTTTAATTTGCAAAATTATTTCAATGATCCAAATGCTGTGACAAATATGTAACCCATGTGTTGGCCATTGAACTGATAGGAAGGGAACGTCGACTCTTCGCAAATGCAATACCAAAGCCAAACACAGCCGCAACTAAACAGTCAAATACCGGCCAAACAGCCAATGCAGGCGTCGTATGGCGAACAACAGGCCAATCAGGCCAGAGGTGGCGGTCAGCCGTCGGGGGCCGACACCGCCAACCAGTGGTCTCAACCGACACGTGAGTATTCTTCCGCTGCTGCCATAGCCTCAAAGCCATACAGTTCTACGCAAATGCTATTTAATGATAATAATGACAAGCGATTAGTAGATAATAATGAGAATGCGGTGAATGTGGAGAATAATAATGAGAACAATATAATTAGTGAACATAATATTGGGGGTCAACACATATCCGGCCACCAGAGCACTACCACCGTTGCCGGACAACCGGCCCATCGTAACCAACACACCACAGACAACAATCAGTTTAGTTATGTCACGCATCATAAACATAAGGCCAGAGCCCAAGACATATACGACGACTACGAGGATCAGGACGAGGAGGAGCTCATGGATGCGGCCGAGGCTGGGATGCGACGGCCGAGCGATGCGGACCCGTCGCTCGTGAGGGAGTATTCGGACGACTTTGACATCGACGAGGAGTACGAACAGGAGGGCGAGTACGAGGAGGACAGCGACGAGGAGGACGAGGCGGACCTGATGTCTGGGGCCGGCGCCACCACTGTGTTCGCAATGTCCGAGTTTGACCGCAGTCTGGGAGAGGTGTACACCATTCCCGAAGAGGAGGAGGACATTGTCTCGCCTCAGCTCAATGTCAAGAAGACTGAATGCCAGCAGTTTATGTTAGCCTCAGTTGACAATGATCTCAATAGTGACACTGCGGCCACTCTTCACAGATGGAGAGGTAATTGATACACAAATATCTGTGACAAACACTACAGACAAATAAATCACTACTTAATTGGATATTCATTGTCGACACCTTTTCTATCTCTCTATCTCTTATTAATTGATTAATCAATTGTTTCCAAACTATCACATCGATTCGCTTTCAATTACTCAAACCATTTAGTGTTTTAGTTTTTTGTTTAATTTTGGTTTTTATATATTTAATTTATACAATTAGTTTTAGAGTTTAGCCATAGTTTTAGCAATAGTATCCTATTTATACTCAACACTAATTTGAAAAATTAATTTCATTTTCCAGTGATTAGTTTAAAGCCGTTTGGTTTTAAGTTGTATTATAGGCTTTAGATAACAAAATCGTTTTTTCGTAAAATTGATACAAAAATAAGAAGCTTTTGAATCGATTTTGTGACAAAATCTGCATATTATATGAGACATCAAAAGCGAAATTCATGTCCAAAAAACCGAAGCCTAAAATCATCTCTACTTTAATACTTGAAAATAATCGATGGATTAAAATAAAAAACTATTAAATATATAAAAATGATTGAAAACAAAACCCATAGGATTTGCTATAATGAAATACAGAAAACAAAATTAATATATTAATTAATATGATAAATGTGTACAAATATATAATATCTATATATACTGTGTTGTATATATTGTGACAATTGGTTGCTCTATCATCGGATATGCAATACCCCTGAATATTATTTGCTCTCAAATCAAACAGTTTTGTCGTCAATTGTCTTTTGAATCTTATATATATACGTATATCTCATTTCTTTATGAATTTGTTTGCCAATTATATTATTTGTTACATACTATACAAAAATTTATTCACTTTTATTTTTACAAATGTCGTGTCATATAGTTAGTATATTCTGTCTGTTAAAAATAAAGGATTGTTAATTAAACTACCTAACAGTAAATAAATACTTGTCAGTATTCAAAGTTTATGACTATTTGTATGATAAAGTGAATCAAATTCTTGAAAATTATTTTCTGTTAACAAATATTTATATTTTGTATTTAATCGTAATTATACAAATGCTTGTTTTTGATGAAAAGCATGTCTTAATGAAATACTGTATTTAAAACTAATTTTCATGTAAATTATGTGTGATTTCATGTGAATGCTACGAATATTCTGTAATCTATTTGTTAATTGTGTGTTGAAAATGCTTGTTATGTTTAGAGAATATTCTGTGTTATGAATGAATACTGGGATATGAAAACAGTATAATTAATAATATGAAAGATTGCACTGAAATGATCTAGTTAATGTCCTTAAATGTAGTGGTTTCTGATCAATCAGGTGCTGGTGGTGGTGGTGCGGGGCCAAATGAATACTGGGATATGAAAAGAGTATAATTAATAATATGAAAGATTGCACTGAAATGATCTAGTTAATGTTCTTATATATAGTGGTTTCTGATCAATCAGGTGCTGGTGGTGGTGGTGCGGGGCCTACTGCTCAAAGCCAATGGAATCAACAATTGCCACAAACACAGAATATGCCACAAACACAACCTCTGCCACAGATCCAACCCCAGGGCACCGGTAGGAAAATGCCACAAATGCCTCAATTAAACCAACAACAGCAGCAGCAACAACAACAACAGCCACCACCACAACCCCAAACACAACCACAACAACAGTTGCCTCAAGAATATAACAGACAATATGGTACGGAATCAGGACAACAGAGTCAAAGTCAATTCTATAACCAACAGAATCCACAACCAGTTCCACAGAATCGAAATCAATACCAACAGGATATTAGGGGCGAAGACTTCAGACAAGATATGAGACCTGAAATAAGAGTTGATGTTAGACCAGAAGGAAGACAAGATATGAGACCTGACATGAGGTCAGACATGAGGGGACAGGACTTTAGGCAAGACATTAGACCTGATATGAAACAGGATATAAAGCAAGACATACAACCAGATCATAGACAAGACTACAGACAAGATATAAGACCTGACAATAGACAAGATATAAGACCAGACAATAGACAAGATTATAGATCCGATTTAAGACAAGATATGAGAAATGATCAAAGATTACAAAATCAGGACATGAATAGAGAGAGTGGAAGACAATTACCACAAAACCAAAGAGGAGATAATTTAAGTCAGCAAATGATGAATCAACAAGAATTCAGACATGAGATTAGACAACAGTATCAATCGCCTGAACACAAGACTCCGCAACAAATTCAACAGGACATGAGACAAAGCGGTCGTGAATCGGATCCACACTTTCAGCAATACTCACAACAGTCACCACAAAGACAACAACCAAAACAACAACAGAATTATAGTCAAGAAGAATACCAACGCTTTCAGACCAGCGAAAGGCAAATGAGAAGGGAATTGAGTGATTCATCGGATACCTATCCATCGACGACAAGTAGAGACATGCGATCTCATGATATGGATTCGCCACCGAATAGGTCAGGCCAGTCTTCAGTGGGCGCTCCCATTCCCCGAACAGTGCCATTGCATACAGTGACCCAACAGTTGGCCACATCTTCATCGGCATCGTCGCCACCATCGGGTAGTACTCTATCGCCAAAACACAAATCAATTCAAAGTCAACAGCAGTTATACGCACAACAACTGCAGCCTAAGAAGACGCCGCCTCAGGTGCCCGAGTGCTGGTCAGTGGAAGACAATTACCACAAAACCAAAGAGGAGATAATTTAAGTCAGCAAATGATGAATCAACAAGAATTCAGACATGAGATTAGACAACAGTATCAATCGCCTGAACACAAGACTCCGCAACAAATCCAACAGGACATGAGACAAAGTGGTCGTGAATCAGATCCACACTTTCAGCAATACTCACAACAGTCACCACAAAGACAACAACCAAAACAACAACAGAATTATAGTCAAGAAGAATACCAACGCTTTCAGACCAGCGAAAGGCAAATGAGAGGGGAATTCAGTCATTTATCGGATACCTATCCGAGCTATCCATCGACGACAAGTAGAGACATGCGATCTCATGATATGGATTCGCCACCGAATAGGTCGGGCCAGTCTTCAGTGGGCGCTCCCATTCCCCGAACAGTGCCATTACATACAGTGACCCAACAGTTGGCCACATCTTCAGCGGCATCGTCGCCACCATCGGGTAGTACTCTATCGCCAAAACACAAATCAATTCAAAGTCAACAGCAGTTATACGCACAACAACTGCAGCCTAAGAAGACGCCGCCTCAGGTGCCCGAGTGCTGGTCTCCGCCCACAGACCTGTCGCCCATTCTGGACGTATCGCCGTCTATAGAGGCGGCCGAACAAGAGATTATGGAAAGGATTAAATCCAGCGGAGAATCCGTGAGAAACATATATTGTATTCATTTTTTAAATGATTAATAATTTGTTTTTTTTATACAATTTTAAAGTTGTCTACAATTATGCCGAGCATTCCTCGAGCGACGAGCGGAACCATCACCGGAATGATCGCCGACTTCAACAAAGCGATGGAAGCGTTGGGAACCGAGTCGCCCACCGAAGAGCACTATGAGATGGCCTCAAAACTGAAACGCATGGAAAGGGAGTCCAAAATTCAGTCCCAACGACAACAGAGCGCTCAGCAAAAGGTATCTAAACAGCAGACATCCACTCAAAAGACAACGATTGACGCCACGTCCGGCAATCCACCCATTATTGTCATGACTTCGGGACCAAATCAGTCGACAATTCCATTGCAACTACAGCTCAATCCGCAGGCAGTGGTGAGCGGACAGGCGTTGCTTCCCAGCCCTCAAGTGGAGCAACAGCTACAACAGCAACAGATTCTTATCCAACAACAGCAGCAGTTCCTTCAGATTCAGATCGAACAGCAGAAGCTCCAGAAGCAGATGACCGAACAGTTGACGATTAGACAGCAGCAGGAAATGGACAAACAGAAGACACAGAAGGATGTGCTCATTCAGCCCATACCCCCGCAACCTCTACCACAGCCTCAACCCACTAAACCAGAGGTTATCAAGCAAGACAAACAGGTGTCCACTTCGACACCACCTTCAATGTCATCGACACCCACATCAGCCACTAATAAACAGCTGATCAATAAGTCTGTGGCCCCAGTGATGGTCAAGCCTGACCTTATGGCCAACAAGAATACCGACGTAACGGTGCAGATGTCTGTGTTGAGCAGTAGTGGCGGCACCAGAAAGAACTTACACCGAAGACTACCTCATCCGACAGCTGAAGAAATGCAAACCGCTGTCCAATTGGCTGCCGTTCACAACGTCTCACAACAGCAACAACAACAACGATTGGGGACAACTGTCTCATCAGCGCCGACAGTCTCTACACAACGACCCGTCTCACCACTGATGCCTCGTAAAACACAGTCGAGTGTCATCTCATCCCAGGTTTGCATTCATTTCATCTTTAATACCTGTGTTTTGTATTGAAATTAATATTACGGTATAGCCTATAATTTATAGGTAATAAGAATATTATATATTCAATATGAAAATTACTAGACTTTATAATATAATATAATATAAATTTTATAAAGTTTACACATGTACAGTATTCTTATGAAATTGAAGGCTTAAATTAAAATGCATGTCACTATTATAAGTTATTATAAACTGAAGTATAGTATGATAGGTTTGAAGTGGACATTTAAACTCAAGAGTTAGTTGTAAAGTAAATATGCGTTGAGTGGTAGAGAATATTCCTGAAGGACTTAATTAGTGCACTAAAACGCCAACACAAATGATCATCAAATCATACATTTTTAATAAATACTAATGAATTAAATCTTGCATTTGTAACAAAATAGTATTTGATTTGTTGCTAATTATAGTGCTTTAATGCTGTTTACAGTTTTTGTGATACTGTAAACATTTTAATAGGTCATTGCTCAGAAAAGTTTATTTTTCTCAAAGGATTTGTTACTATAGTACAATAATCTTGTCACTATAATGTTAATTGTAAATTATTCAATATTTAAAATGATGGCTTAAACTAATTCATACAATTAAAAATGCTTCAAGAATTTTAACTAGTATTTATATAACAATTACCCTGATACATTTTTTATATTCCTAAATTTATAATTGTAATATGAGTTTAGAATTGATTTGTGTTTAAAATGTATATAAAAACCTATTTTAACCGATAATTTGCAGACAATTCTGAACCCATCGATGAGACGGACAAACCTCTCGACGTCAACAGTGCTGACGACCGCCACATCAACACAGGTCTCATCGGCGGTCATGCCCTCGACATCCATCTACGATCGCATTAGTCCATCGCCCTATGCGTTGGGACAGACTGTGCTCCGTTCGCACACTCCCATCACTCCCGGCGCCGACTTCTCTGACTCTCAGAGCGAAACTTCTGGAGATAAAGGCAAACGAAGGAAGCTGCCGTCAGTTCCCTTCGATGAGGAGCCCATCTCTCCTGTGATCGCCACTAGAAAACTGATCAAAGATAGACTGGCCGGTCAGTTGTCATCACTATTTGTTTATTAATAGTTTCAACATTTATTTAATTAAATATATTTTGTATGACAGGCCGGGCGGCCATTTCTTCCACATCAATAGCATCGAAACGCATACCACCCCTACGCTCGTCCTCATCACTGGATGGGACTGTTATGGGACTGACAGCTCAGCGTCGACCGCAGTCGCCCTTCTCGTCGACCTCAGACATCTGGGTTAAGGACTGGAGTTGCATGCCGGTCAGTCACTACTTCTCGAGTTAGCCCTTGTAGGCTAGTGGCCGAGCAAGCGGTTATGGAGGGCCTCTCAGTGTCTACCCTGCGGTTAACGTTTGGAGGACATCTGTCCATTCACTCACATCTCCCACAAGGTTTCCCTCTTATATGAAGAATCTTAAGGACCAGTTGTGGGAAGAGTTGAAGACCGCCACTGAAGAGAAGCACCGGTTAATGAGTCTCAGGAATAGGGATAAGGATTTCTACAGGAGATCCGAAACAGATTTACAACAATTGTTTGACATCTACTCCTCACCCATCCGACGAAGACGTGGACGATATAAGTCTAAGAATGCGTCCGATTCTCGGATCTATCGATCGCTTTCACCAACGATTAGAGATGACATACCGTTCAAGTCATACGAGTTCGAGTCATTACACCCGACCCGCACTGGTATTGAACTCGGCATATCTCCCGTCTCTGGGTACAGAAGTAACCCGCGGATAAGACTGCGGCTTGAGCCCGAGTCTCTCAGTCAGTAAGGATTATACTACCTGCGGTTGCTTTTGTTAGAGATAAACCGCCGTTTATACCTAACCATTTCTTGATTCATGAATTCATTTCTGATTACTATTTGTTGAAAACGAAATCTTTCCTCAAATGTACGCTCAGTTGAATCGCCGGCGCCGAAGCGAAGGGAGGCGGCTTTACAATAGGGCTAAACCGATACCTAATCTAGGCATGCCTTCCTCAAGGAGCTTCATAATAATGCTGCTGGAGTGGGTTGTCTCCGCTGCCCACCCGCCGAGCTCTCCACCGTGAGCGACTTGGAATCCGTCGCCGTATGTCTCTGAGGACGAAGACGACCACTTGACTCGCGAGGAAAAGGCGGCCAAAGTTAGGGCAGAGATTAAGCGCCGGCGCCAACAGATGGCCGATTCGGGCAGACTTTACAGACACTCGTTCGATGGAAGTGGTCTTCCTTACGGACAGATGGATGACATCTACGGTCAAAGTGCTCTTATAGACGACTATTACAATTACAGTCCAACTACTCATCAGATGCCTAAAGATTATTATAACGGAAGACTCAGAACTAATTACTCTCAGCCCTCACTTCACTCAATGCATGGGTAGATATTCATGTGTTTTATGGACTGCCTTTCCTTTCAATTATATAAGCATTTGTTTTCATTAACCTTTTGAGTACTTTAACGAAAGTTTGCTTTTTTTGGTTATTACCGGTACTGTAATCCCCATTTATTTCACTCATTTCACTGACTTTAACTCATTATATGGATGTTCTTGATTTAATGTATTGTTATTTACTTTCTTGTGTAATGTTTTATCATTTTTAAGTGAAATTTTAATCAATATATGAAATGCACTAAACTTTATCACTAAACTTAAACTTTATACTAATGAACCACTTATGTAATGAGTGAAACACTATAATTATTGCAACGAATGGCTAATATTGGACTGAAACAAAACTCTTTCATTAATGTTAACTGAAATTGAATGAATTATCTAAAATTTGTCTATATTTGTGTTCAATAGACCCGATCCCTATAGTAATTATCATAACTACGACCCCCGACTGGTCAATGTAAACATGAGCGGCGCCTACAGACAGAATAGAAATGTGAACCAAAGGGATGCGGCTCTACTCCGTCGGCCCAACTTTGCTCACCCGGACGTCGGCTCACTGTTGTCGGCCACGGAGTCGGACACTCCCTCTGAATATATGGACCCATTGCATAACACACCATTATATTATATTATAAAGTCTAGTAATTTTCATATTGAATATATAATATTCTTATTACCTATAAATTATAGGCTATACCGTAATATTAATTTCAATACAAAACACAGGTATTAAAGATGAAATGAATACTGGGATATGAAAAGAGTATAATTAATAATATGAAAGATTGCACTGAAATGGTCTAGTTAATGTTCTTATATATAGTGGTTTCTGATCAATCAGGTGCTGGTGGTGGTGGTGCGGGGCC